CTTGCTCTGTCACCCAGGCTGGAGCGCAGTGGTGCCATCTCAGCTCACTGCGACCTCCACTTCCTGGATTCAAGTGATTCTCCTGCCTCAGCCTCTCGAGTAGCTGGGGTACATTAAAACCAATTCAAAAGTATTTTTAAAAATAGTATGGAACTGGGCACAGTGGCTCACACCTGTAATCCTAACACTTTGGGAGACCGAGGCGGCCAGATCACTTGAGGTCAGGAGTTTGAGACCAGCCTGGCCAACATTAGGAAACCCTGTCTCTACGAAAAAATACAAAAATTAGCCAGGTGTGGTAGCGCGCATCTGTAGTCTCAGCTTCTTGGGAGGCTGAGGCAGGACAATCACTTGAACCTAGGAGGTGGATGTTGCAGTGGGCAAAGATGGCGCTACCACACTCCAGCCTGGGTGACGGAGCAAGACCCTGTCTTAAAAAAAAGAAAACAAAAAACAAACAAACAAAAAAACAGGACAAGTGGGGAGGGCAATGGAGAAAACAGGTTTAAAACTTAGGTGACTGAATGAACTAGATCTACCTGTAGACATATCTGAAAAGCAATCTTGAGAAAAAAAAGTTGCAAAAGGATACATACATGATTCTATTTATGTAAGATTTCAAAACAAAACTATATGTTGCCTATGAATACATATGTGGGGTCGGGCGTGGTGGCTCATGCCTGCAATCCCAGCACTTTGGGAGGCCAAGGTGGGCAGATGACTTGAGGTCAGGAGTTCAAGACTAGCCTGGTCAATAGGGTGACACTCCGTCTCTACTAAAAATACAAAAATTACCTGGGCATTGTGGCATGCACCTGTAATCCCAGCTGCTTGGGAGGCTGAGGCAAGAGAATCACTTGAACCCGGGAGGCAGAGGTTGCAGTGAGCAGAGATTGCACCACTGCACTCCAGCCTGGGTGACAGAGCAAGATTCCACCTCAAAAATAAATAAATAAATAAAGATGTGGGGGGGAAAGTATAAAACATGAAGGAATGAACACATCAATTCAGGCCAGTAGTCATTTCCTGAGAAAGAGGAAGGAAGAAAGGACGCAGGGTGGAACTTCAGCTATATCTATAACATTTAATATTTTAAAGAGAGTAAGACATCTAAAACAACTATGACAAAATGTTAATGTCCATCAAATTTGGGTTGCAGACTCAAAATTGTTTGAGTTTTTCCCCTGAACTTTTCTAAATGTTTGAAATATCTCATTATGCAAAATTGTAAAATTAATAAAGGGCCAGGTGATTGGAAGAATAGAGGAGTCAACACAAAAACAGTAAGGAGCAGAATGGCTTCCCGAAACTATAAGGAGATATCTGACTTGTTCAGTTTTAGAGTGAAGAGGAGCCTTCACATCCCTCAAACAGCATGCACAAGCGGAGCTTAGAACAGGGTAGAGTGGGGACTGACAACAATGGATAAGAAGGTTTATTGCCATCTCAAATCAGATAGCGGAGGGGAGTGAAAAACCACCTTCCCACATAATTTAAATGCCAGTGTAACCAAGTTATCTCCCCTAAAACAGTCAAGGAAACTTCCAGTTACACAGGAATTCAGATAAGTACTCACTGTGAGTAGCTATTCTGTGCCTCCTCTCTATCCACCCCTTCCCTCTCCCAAATACAAACAAAAACAAAATGTACCCTTGCCCACTTGAGAAAGAATTAAGACTTGGCAGCTCTGCTAAAGTGGACAGCTTCCAAACCAAGGCCCTTCCCTGGGGAAGATGCTGACAGAGCCCAGAGAAAATAATTTAAAAATTACAACTCAGACAAGTTTTGAGGAAGGCCTATCAATGGAAGGTATCCATCCTTCCACACGTCCTTAAGTGCCAACTTCTCCCAGGAGTACCTAAGGACTTAGATGATGCCCTCTACCCTGTTCTGTTCTCCTCCAGCAAAAGTGACTAAAACACAAAATCCAAACTCTTGCTTAGCACTTTAAAACCACACTTGAAAACCAAACAATTTCCCTCCATAAAAATCCAAAGAAAATAAAAATACAGGGAAGATGCAGAATCTGGGTATTTAATATTTTAAAGAAAGAAATATAAAACAAATAAGACAAAATGTTAATGTCCATCAAATTTGGGTTGTAGGCTCAAAATTGTGTCTGTTTGGGTTTCTTCCCTGAACTTTTCTCAACTTTGTTTAGATAAATATTCTTTTTTTAAGATAAATAGGCCGGGCGCGGTGGCTCAAGCCTGTAATCCCAGCACTTTGGGAGGCCGAGACGGGCGGATCACGAGGTCAGGAGATCGAGACCATCCTGGCGAACACGGTGAAACCCCGTCTCTACTAAAAAATACAAAAAACTAGCCGGGCGCGGTGGCGGGCGCCTGTAGTCCCAACTACT